CAGGGACGTCGTCCTCAACACCACAAATCCTCTGCTGAGGACAAGGAAAAAATGCACTGTGTGACAACGCAGAACATTATTGGATGAATCCATTATTTTCGGTCTGTTTGACCTTAAAGTATTTTTGGTTGGCGTTTTCATCGCCCACTAACAACAGGTCTTCTCTACAGAGGCTGCCATGTTGAATATTTCCGTTATTATTTCATATTGTAGTACAGCGTTCTCAAACCTTTCCATGCCAAAGACCCCTGAATTCTAAAATGTTTTTGCGTGCGAGTATATTTTTCCTACGTGCTAGCACCTTGTGTGTTAGGATATAGGAATATTCAATTATAAGTAACTTCACTCCTGGACGTTGTAAAATTCTCTGCCTTTAGAGGTTGCTGTTCTCCGTTCATGTTTTTTTTTCTACTATTGTACCTGTCATTGGAATGCTAATGTTTAGAGATGCTAATGTCTACACTGAGCTCATTATCAGATGAGCACTCCTTGGCTTAGAAATATGTTTTACTGATACAGCTGCTAAACAGGTTTATCTGACGTGTGTGTGCTCGTAGCAGGTGCTGTGATCCGCTCTGTTCTGTTCAGTAGTGAGCCGGACAACTGTCCGGGGTGTCCGTCATGGTCTCCTGCTCTGGTTCTTCTCTGAGTCCCAATCACTCTCTCTGCCTCCACTTGAATGTCCCCAAGGGACTGTACGTCTGTAGTTGCTGTTACAGGCCTTTGTGCCAAACACAAAGAGGGCGGGTCCAGTCCAGTTTTGGGTCCATTCATAAAAAGCATCCATGCATGAACCAGGCTCTCCCTGCAGTCCCAGAGAGCCCCAAAGATCGACCTTACAGGGGCGATAGAGGAGACGTTAACCAAAAGCTGGTCAGACAAAACAAGGCTGTGGCGAGGCTGAGTGTGTGGGTGGTCAGTGACACTGACTGTAGGCAGTATCTATAGATATCTGTATATATATTTATATACTGTAAATATTGGTTTTTTTCTCTCAATTGTTGTTACGAACTACTTCCGTAAGCGAGCAGAAGAAATTCCTGAAAATTTGAACCTAGTTTTATTGTAATAACCTTATAGGAATGTTACTAAAAGAAAAAAAACGATAAAATATCCATTTTGTCTCTTTTCAGAAATGACACTCCTGTCCTCTCAGCCCAAACCCCTGGACCTGGCCACGGCCTCGGACGCCAGTCCTGCCGCTGACACCAGTGCGGAAGACCCAGGGCAGAGGATGCTGGAGAAGAGGTCAAAGGTCATTGAGGAGCTTCTGCAGACAGAGAAGGACTACATCAAAGACCTGCAGATGTGCGTCAAGGAAATCATCGAGCCGCTGCGAAAGAAGCAGGTGAGGACCCTCTGGACGAGGATGTGAATTTTGTCGGCTGAGCAATGTTTAGAATGAACAGCGAGGAAAATGCAAAATAGTCAGTGAAGGAAAGAAAATGGAAAACAGTGTCACACAATATCTATTTGACTGAAATGAGGCCCTAATAAAAAGTAAACCTTAAAACAATTAACTTTGCAGCCATGTTTGTCACAAAATAGTAAAGGCATTTAAATTAAACTGTATTAAAACTCCATTCGTGTCTGTTAACGAAACAAAACACTTCTTCCAAATCCCAAATTGTCTGTTTCCTGCAGGTGAAGAACGTGGACTTTGAGGGGCTTTTTGGCAACATCGGCTCCGTCATCGACCTGTCACAGCGGCTCTTCGAGGCGCTGCAGGAGAGCGACTCTATAGGTGCGCAGTTGTTCGTGTGCCGTACAGCTGCTGACCAACAGGGGGCTCGTTCTGTAAAACTCACTTTGACAACCATTCAAAACTGATCAGTTCCTTGGTAGAATATCAACCCAGTCAGTTTTTTCATTAAAATTTTAATGAAAATAGTATGTAAATAAAGGCAGAAAAAAAGGTAAAAAATAAATTAAATTACATACATACATCTGTTCATTCCTTTGTCATTACAAACATAAACACTTGCAAACTATAGTCTTAACGGCAACAGTAGACAAGTAATGCTGAGAACTTTAACACATTTGAAGGGGAAAATGTAGACAAGTAATGCTGAGAACTTTAACAAATTTGAAGGGGAAAAAAACTTTTGTTTTCTCTTTACCGCGGTTGGCTTGCTCACCTTTGTCTGTTTCCTGTTTTGTGTCTTTGTCCACCGTCCCCTCAGGAAGAGTATTTCTGGACTTCAAAGGTGAGGTGCTGGACGTGTACAAGATCTACTGCCAGAACCATGACGACGCTATCTCTCTGCTGGAGAGCTACGAGAAAGACGAAAACATCCAGCGTCATGTGCTGGAGTGTCTGGACAGACTGAGGTGAGGAACTCAGTCGGATTTTTATTCCAGAATTTTAGCTTTGTAGCTCCGGTGTGTTTCAGTTCTCTGCATGCACAATGTGTGTGTACGTGTGAAAACGCAAGCATGAATAACAAACCTGAAGTAAAACATTAAGAGAAATGTGCTCATAGATGGTTTATTATTTGAAAATGTTTGCTTTTACACACAGGCGTTGTACTTAGAAACTACATTTATAGAAGTTGGTGAAACTTCTCTGTACTTAGGGAACGGGGTTTTTCTCTATTCACTTGATGCCGTACAGTATTAGCCTTTAGCTTTTTTTTTACTACAGCCTTAATTTAGCCTTAAATATTTAAATTAGTGCACATCCAAGGTCAGTGTACTCTTGCATGACATGTTTTCCCATCATTTCCTTATGTAGATTTAATGTTGACCCAGTTTGTTTTCCTATTAACATGAAGTCATTTATCACAGGGTGTTTTCTTGTCAGCCAGACTCTGAACTTTAACACACGATCACGTCGAAGGCCTGGAGTACAGTTATATCCAAGTCAAACTTAATACTTCAACTATTTTATCTCTCTATCGCTCGCCAGCATATAACACACAGCAAGCGTGTGTGTGTGTGTGCTTACATGCGTATGTGTGTGTGTTCAGTAGATCTTGGTAATGTAAAGCAGCTGAAGAATGTGCCCTACCTTGTTTTACCTGCAGTTTCACCATGCAGTCAGATACTACTTTTTGTGTCTGTGTCTGTGTGTGTGTGTGTGTGTAAAATACCCACAATCCATCTTTGAAAATAAACACTGGTTTGTTCGACCGGAAGTTTGGAAAAAGAAACAGAAACATCTGTTTAAACAAAGGAACCGTTTATATTTTACTTTAAATGGCTGTTTATGACCAATGATCTGAGTTAGAAGTAAATGGCTGTTGGTTTTTTCATTTGGATTTGGAAACAATTGTACTTAATGTAAGAAAGTGTGCGAGTTGAGGAGAGAGATGAACCACATATCCACACTAAGGAAAAAAGACTTCCTGTTTTTTTTTTTAGTCCACTAGAGACATCTTAACAGTATTCCCCGGCTGTATCCTTTATTCTGAAACAGGTGTTGTCTGACGCTGCTCTCAGTGTGTGTGTGTGTGTAGAGCACAGCGGGGCGGGGTCGAGAAGTATGCCTCATGTCAAACTGCTAATCATCCACTCGTCATTGAGTCTTCAGCCGTGTCCTGACCTCGTCAGTTGTGTTCAGTTCACTACCACAGTGTAGTCAAATGGATACAGTCCACTTTGTGTTCAACAGACAGTCAAGTACAGACCGTGTCCACTTCCTGTTGATCGGGCTTTTCCATCTGTTTATGTCCAAATGGAGTGGGGTCAAAGATGAACTAAACACAGCCATCGTGACATTAACATTGCAAATCAACATAATTAAACAGTTATGTTTTACACATCACTTGATGTGTTGTTAAGTTACAACTTCTTCAAAGCTGTAGACATTTTTTTCCTCAGTGTGTGTGTTGGTACCGAGTATATTCATCTTTGGAAAAGGTCACGAGCGCTGCGTGCCACCTTCTAGAAAACAATGCTTTACCGCCACTCCAGGCGTCCGGCCAGGGCTGACAAAGAGAAAGTTCACAATGCGGGGGGCGGCGCTCCTGACTGCATGCCATTTGCTGACTAATCTTCTCCACGAATCGCTGCACGACTCTCTGTTTCTCTCTGCCCTTCCCTGTCTGTGAAAGTGGAGGAATCTGAAGTATCTTTCTTTTTCATCTGAAGGCGGTTGTTCTTTTTTTTCCTTTTCTTAATCAAAGTGGAATCATATTCATATCCCGTTGCTTGTGTGCCTGCTCGTGCATGTGTTGTGTTGTTTACTACTGTCGTGCAAATAATCCTAACATCAACATCTTCGCCTTGATGGGAATGTGGGAAAAAGTAACTGTTGATCTTGGGATAAGCATTTAATGCCATCTAGTGGACAAGTGCAGCAAAAGCAGTTTTCAGCCACATCTGACGTAAATATGGTAATGAGAACACGGAAGAATTTTACTGCAGTATTAGAATGTGTAAAAAAAATTGAAAGTAATTCCTAATGTTTATTTACTATTTATATTCTCTAAATTAGGTGAAATATGTCACACATTTGGTATTTAACTTCAAATGGCTGTTTATCCACTAGATGGCATTGTTGACATGCAAAGTCAATGCTGTAAACTCTGTAAAATCATGTTTATCATGACATAAACATGATTGGAAACATACTGTCATTGTTGAGTGTGTTATGTAAAAGAAAACACAGTGAAGGTGTGACGTTGGTCCAAGTCAGATTTGTCACACTTCCTGTCGCCTCTTTCAGGGGTAAGACGAACTACATCAACCTGGGCTCTTTCCTTATCAAGCCAGTGCAGCGGGTGATGCGTTACCCGCTGCTGCTGATGGAGCTGCTGGGGGCCACGCCGGAGAGCCACCATGACCGGCCGCAGCTGACCGAGGCCCTGCAGGCTGTCAAGGAGATCAACGTGAACATCAACGAGTACAAACGCAGGAAGGACCTTGGTAAAAAAAAATGTATCCGAATGACCAACCTTTACACGGACTGCTTTCTCACCTGCGTTACCTTTGTGTTCACAGTGTTGAAGTACAGAAAGGGAGACGAGGACACTTTCATCGACAAGATCTCCAAGTTGAGCATGCACTCCATCATCAAGAAATCCAACCGGGTCAGCAGCCACCTCAAGCACCTCACAGGGATTTCGCCACAGGTACGTTGAAATATAATCGTACATCATGTTCGGTCAAAGAGGAGAGACCGTGACGACAGCTGATGAAATGTCTCCTTCCCCATCTTAGATCAAAGACCAAGCGTTCGACGAGGTTGAGAAGAGGTTCAGACTGCAGGAGAGACTCATCAAGTCTTTTATCCGAGACATTTCACTGTACCTACAGCACATCAGGGTAAAAACCTTCAGACTCTAGGAGCCACATAATGTTTGGCCGGTCGAGTTAAAGACATTTTAAAATTCCACATACTGTACATATGTTAATGCTCAGGTCTGGAGTTTTACTGTTCATTTGTCTCTGCAGGAGTCGGCCTCCGTGAAGGTCTTGGCCGCCATCAGTTTCTGTGACATCTACACCGATCGCAGCGTTCCAGACCCTCAACGCTTTGAGAGAGCCCACCGCTGCATCACCGACAAACAGTTCACAGAATTTGTGAGTTGATTCGACTTTATACAAATTCCCTCCGTATAGAGGAAGGGAACTTCCCTACCTTCCTGTAAGAAATGACGTAAAATAAGTGGAAACATCAAGGTGTTTTAATTGAGAGAAAACCTGACCTTTATTTGACCCAAGGACCGACTACAGCGTTTGATAGAAATTTTGAATTTTTGTCCACTATTTTGTTTATCATAAAAGCAAAAGCTGCTCCTGCTCAGAGAACTAAGACCTTGGACCAACCTGAGCTGTTCTCACCTCAGTCTCACCTCAACAAGTAGTGACTAAAACATAGGAGTTGTGAAAAAGTTTTGCTACATTTGTCTGTGAATTTTTTTAACCTGCGGATAAACATAATTTAAAAGCTCTTGAAATTAGAAAAATAATTGAAAATGCCCTAGAAGATATTTGGAAGTTTGTTTTGTTCATATATATAATAAGTAGAGTGAAAACAGAGACACATCTGTGTGTCTTAAAGAGTCAAGTCTTTACTAACCCTCTGGGTTTTTTTCTCCTGAGTAGAAGGAGCGGACAGAGGCCCTGGTCATCAACCCACTCACCCAGCTCCTCCTCATGTTCGCTGGACCGCACAAGCTCATCCAGAAGCGCTTCGACAAGCTGCTGGACTACGACAACTGCAAGGAGCGAGCCGACCGCCTCAAGGACCGCCGTGTGCAGGACGAGCTGCAGGCCACGCGCAACAACTACGAGGCGCTCAATGCCCAGCTCCTGGACGAGCTGCCCGTGTTCCACACTGTAGCGGAGGAGCTGTTCATGGGCTGCGTCAGGGCCTTTTCTCAGGCTCAGAAAGACTTCATAAGGACTACGCTGGGGGAGTTGAAGCCCATCCTTCAGATGGTGAGAGACAGTTTGACTGTCGGTGACAAAAAAAAGGTTGTGAATTATACTAATCCCGTCCTTTTTTTTTAACTCCACACTCTAGTTCTCTAACAACACCGGCAAAGAGGGAACCATAATAGCACAGTTTCAGGAAGAATACGGCCGCGTTCTCCAACTTCTGCAGAGCTTCAGCTTCTGTCCGGAGAACCTGCCTCCAGCCGTCCCCGTGAAGAAGCCCTTTGAGAAAAAGACTCAGGAGAAGCAGACGTCTAAAAAGACACTGCAGAGCCCTGTGAGCTGAAATCATTCACAACATGAAACAATATTTATAAATGTAAAAAAAAAAAGCAGTCAACGCTCACTCGTCTTTGTGACTTTCAGCCAATCATCACACAGACGGAGGAGCACCGTGCAGGACTTCTGGCTCGCTTCGGCCCGGACAAACTCTTCCAGGCTGAGAGGAACTTTAACGCTGCCCAGGATCTGGATGTTTCCATACAGGAGGGAGACCTCGTGGGCGTCATCAAGCAGCAGGATCCCATGGGCAGCAACAACCGCTGGCTGATAGATAACGGAGGTATTTTTTTTTCTTTTTTAATCAACCTTATTGATTCATTCTTGAGTTAACAGCAGGTGTGCTGCAACAGGCTGCCTCTTGGTGGCGCCAAATATATGGTTCCTCTGGGAACCAATCTATTGTTACTAGCATTTCTTTGGGATAAAATCCATATCCAGGTACTAACCTTTACTTCTTTTTGACATGTTAGCATTTTCTGCTAATTTACGATTATATTTTTGAGTAAGTGAAGACTTCTTTATCTTTTTATATCTTTAATTGTAACAGTTTTTACTTTGTTTTTTACAGCGTACACATCTGTTTATATACAGCGGTTAGATTACTGTTCATGTTGAATGACTTTTCCTTTTGTGTTTATCCTGTTTTGCAGTTACCAGAGGCTTTGTGTACAGCTCCTTCCTGAAACCATACAACCAGCGGCGGAGCCAGTCGGACGGTTCCATCGGCTCCTCCAACGAGTCGGGCTACGGCGGCTCCTCCCCAGTTTTCTCCCGCCAGAACAGCAACAGCACACTCACCTTTAACCAGGACACGGCCACCGTCAGCTTCTCCACCTCTCAGAGTCAGTCGTCTCCACACCCGTCAGTGGACTCGACCACCACTTCTCGCCTGAACCACCACAGAGATGCTGCCCCCCCCGACTCCACTGTCAACGCGTCGAACAGAAAGGAAGCTTCAGAGCAGACATATCGAAGCTCCTCTGGTCACAGAGACACTGAACAGCCGTACAGGCACTCGGCCAATCACAGAGATCCCTATGAAACAGGTCACGCGACCTCCAGTAGCCACAGGGAGGCGTCGGAGCTGTCCGAGACCGATTCTTCATCTTCTTCACACAAAAATCACGCACAGCGGCACGGACACTCGGACAAATCATATGGCTCATATCAGCGAAGAAATGAGGATAACGGACGTGAAAAGAAGGCTGCTTATCACAGAGACGAGTACTCTGACCCAAAACCAGAAGCAGAACCTGAGAGTGAGATGGATGGTCATCAGGTGAGATCACGTTACGACTGCCGTCAGTTTTCTGGCATTAGTTCAGTTTTTCCAAACCTTTGTCCTAAGAATTTTAAATTCTGTTTCTGTATTTATTTATGTATTAACAGAACTCCTACGACGTAACTCTTTTTTTTTTCTGTAAGTTGGAACTCTCGTACTGAACAGTCTGACTTACTCCTGGGAGCCGTAACGAAGGGCAAAAAGTTCCCAAAAAACAAAAACAAAAAACTGAATGTAGCACAGTTCAATGTATGGCATAAAACTGGCGAATGTAAACAAAGATGTCTTCCATTTTTAGCTCCACGTGACGACATATTCGTCCCTTCTGCTCGCCAACTTATTCCCGTACAAAATGTGTTTTAATATGGAATGATGAACAAGACTGTTAATAAATTTATAGGAGATGGAGACGTAACCACAGGACCTACTGTAGATAAGGAATAAAACTTGCAGCTGATTATTAGCTGAATCCTAAACATGAATATCACATCATTTTCTCTGCAGATTTATTACGCACTCTACTCGTTCAGTGCCCGATGTGCCAATGAACTGAGCATCACTGCCAACCAGCAACTGCGGATCCTGGAATTCCAGGACATGAACGGCAACAGCGAGTGGTGGCTCGGAGAAGCCGAAGGACAACGAGGCTACGTGCCTTCAAACTACATCCGGAAAACAGAATACACATGAACAAGCCCTGTGGACGATGTCGCAGTGACATCACTGACAGCACTTTGGCCTGATGAAGGCTTTCTATGAGCAGACGGAACAAAGGACTGGATCTGTGGTCCTCGACTCTGACATTGAGGAGCGACCTGCTGCTGCTGCTGAGCTCCTGAATAATAGTGGGACAAGTAAACATTTTTATTTTTTATTTTTTTATTTACTGGAAACAACAGCCTAGTTGTTGTCATCAGTTAAAAATCACTTGATTTGCACCATTTTTTTAGTTGCCACAACAATAAATTGTACTCTCCGGAAGATTAGTATAGTGGGAGACTGCAATGGAAATGAAAAGGACTTGATGTTGAAATAATACTCTTACGGCTGTACTGTTCAAACAATCTGAGGCACTTAATGCTGATCCTGTGGTTTCCAGTTTGGAGTGTCTGTGGATCCACCAGTAAGAATGGAAAGATGATTTCTGTATGCAATTGTTGCAAATCTTCGGTCCACAGAGTTGAATGACATTTGAAAATGGTGTTTACAAGTTCTGCTCCTGGACTCTATTTAACTAGGTTGACACTGTGTGAACAGGCGGTGAGCCATTGACCTGTGAGAGGTTCACAGAGTGATCTTATCATCTTTTACACCAGGGGTCTCTGACCTTGTTTTCCTCTCAGAGCTACTTTTACAAAATAAAAATGGCAGAGAACTACTCATGTTGTGTAACAATTATTTTTGATTGCTCAAACAAACAAAGTCATTAAGCTTTACAATATGTTACTGTCCACATATAGATCCCCAAAATATTATTTTTATATAGCAGCAGATGGTGGCAGTACTCAGCTATTAAGTTGAAAAATGAAGAAATATGATAAAGAAAGAAGATACTACTACTAATAATAATACTAATTATATATATATATATATAAACAGCATATTTGGTATATTTGTAGCGATGTAATAAATACATATACAATACAATACTGAAAATTGACCAAATACAGTATGCTGTTTTTGTTTTTCTACACAATGTCGTCTTCTGTTGACTGAATACAGCACAACCGACTGCCCTCTACAAGTGTTTGACAGTCTCGTGATATACTGTATATAAACGCAGCAGTAGCATTAGCGAACTTAGCTGCTTTAGATATACACGTTTTAAAGCAGCAACATTATTAAAGGTTGAGACGTTACCTGTTTTTCAATCAGTATTATCATTTTATTTTTTTATTGGGTTTTCTTCTATCGAACCATATCTACAACCCATTGGTCGGACCTTGTTGTTGGCGGAGCAAAACCGAACAACCGACCGCATTTCCTAGCAGGATTTCATCATAAAATGTGTCCCTACGCTAAACTGCCCTTGTGGAACATGAATAAAATAGATATCGTTCGACAGAAGAAACCCCAGTTAATGATAACAATGATTAAAAACAGGTAACGTCTCGACCTATAATAATTTTGCTACTGTTTAAAATGTTTATATCTTAAGTAGCTTGTTTCGCTACTGCTAATTCTAATGCTGCCTGTATGTTTATCATGACGACAGTCAAACAGACGGAGAGGGCGGTCGGTTGTACTGTCTTTGGCCAGTAGACGGGGATATTGTGCGGAAAGGAAAATTAAAAAAATAAAAACAACGTATTTGGTCAATTTCCGGCAATGTACAAGAGGTAAGATTTAAACCCAACTAACAAATCGCCACTAGCAAATTATGAACAATATTAAATAAATACATAATATATTAAGTAATACAATTATTAATAATTTTAAATAATGATGAATGATAATAATACTAAATATAAATATGTGTATCTGCTCATATACAAACTAATAAACCTGCACTGTCACCTGGTGGACTGTAGAAGGCGTGTAGGACGCTTGTGATTGGATAACGAGGCGCAGCCGTGCGCTTTAAAAGCGGAAGGAAGTCGTACTATGTCCTGGCCGGTGATGATTTCAAAATGGCGCTGTGTCAAGGCACAAAGAAAAACGTTTGCTATTGTTACGACGGTAGGTATTTCCATCTCTGGTTCTCTTCACTTTAGCGATTAACGCGTCATGTGAAGGACCAGTATTCCGCAGAGTTCAGCAGCGTGTAGACGGTTTAAAACAAACCGTCTACACGCTGCTGAAC